ATATTTCAATTTTACAAAAAACGCGTATGTTTCCAAAAAACAAATACGCTTCATCTCCAGTTCCTCATGGCTGTATTTCACTAACAGAAGTCTAATAGATAGTAGGCATTTCTTTTCATACCACTGCAGGAAGATAATCAAATACACATTATCTGCCAGATCTACCTTATTATTCAAAAACTCAAGATGCTCTCTCCTTGCGCTAAAAAAATGCTAATAGACTGTTTTCATCTTTTCCTTTTTGTTCCATGGAACTTATTGTTACATCACGATAACAATTGTAGAATGGAAAATGTTACAGCATTCCTATTTACCTTTCTGTTTCCAAGAATTATAAATTGTCTAAAATGTGAATACCGTGACTACTTTTCCCATCTCATGTTCAATATCCAAAAACACATAAAATATGTTTACTTAAATGGATCGCATTAACACTGATAGAGCTCAGAAGTGCTTAGAATGCATAGTTAAAGAAAGTTTATTATTATTATTATTATTATTTTACACAAATAGATTAAAGGGATCAAATCAAATTTTCACTAGGAAGACTAGAAGATTAGGAAAACTCATCCAAAACTGTAACAATTGAATGATGAAAAGATTATTTGAGATATATTCTCTCATTTTTTTTTCCTCATCATTAGGCCATATTTTTTTTTTCAGAGCTTCAACACTGCTGCTCATAGATGGCAATACATAAACCTACATTACTTTTCTCAGACCTTCCAATCCTGTGCTTCAGTCTTCCACAGCTGCCTCAGAATACCCCACAGCTAATCCAACTCTCACACTGCTAAATCCAAACTTCACACTGGAGTTCCACTCGTCTTCATCAGCTATGAAGGGAGATGGTGTAACTCACCACAATACTGAAGTCCATGCTGCAGATATCTGACAGTACCAAACTCTTAAACTCCATTATAGGATATGTTCTACTCATTTAAGGAAAAGATATAAAAAAAATCAAAAATACTTCTGTATTTGTATAGAATGTATTTGGAAGAGAGGGGGTATTTTATGTCTATAGAACTATTCAAACATGCAACATACACAGAATTCTACTCTTTGAATCCTGATTTCATGATTTGCTTTGACAAACAAAACAGACCACAACAGGATGAAGATGACAACATGCTACAGTGTGCAAGAAAAATACCTTTTCTCTATAGCCTCCTACAACTGCATCTCTCCAAGATCACTTTTGGAATTAAGGAAATTGTTTGACAATGGCCTTCTGTAACTGCAAAGCTAAGCTTTCTGCATGAAGCAAGCATGTTTTAAGTTTACAGAAATGTTCTAATTTTAATAAGATCTGAAATGTATAGCCAAAATGTTCTCAGTTATACACTGAATAGTACTTCACATTCAACTCATTTAGGATAAAAGACTACAGTCTATCACAGAAGTTACAGGAAAGATTTTAATGTCTTTTTCCTTTTCATGAATTTAATACGGGGAACAGATAAGACCAGATAAGCTACTGGCTCTCACTGCAGGCTCTCAGTAAAAAATGATTTACTGTTCAGCAGCAACTTTCAGACTTTAAATCTTAATTTACTGCAATCAGCAGGCATTATTCAATGTGATGGTTAGTCCTCTTTGGAGCACTAGGAGTCCTGCCTCATAAATATCTAATCACTGGTTTTATTTCATTCCTCTTATGTACTCTTCCTTCCAAAGATTTTAATCCACTTCACTTCTCCCTATGAAAGCACTCACTAGCCTAGACACTCCAAACACAACTGCAACTGCTGCATTCCAGAAGTAATAATTTTTTGCTTGCTCATTTTTTTTTTCCTAGTTGTTTCTTGTTCTTACGTATTTCATTTTTTTTCATTTGTAGTAATACTGTCTCAGTTTAACTGATGGAGTTCTGCAGCAGTTCTTCCTATAACCTGGGCTATACTTTTTTCTTCTTCTCATCTTCATGTAGTGCTTTGGCTTCTGTACATTCTTGCTCAATGTTATCATTCCTTTTTCCTGATAATTTGTGGCTCCATTGCTACTCACTGTAACTTTTTATTTTATTAATCTGTGCTCACTCACAGAATAATAGAATGGCTTGCATTGGAAGGGATCTTAAAGATCAACTAGTTCCAGCCCCCCTGCCACGGGCAAGGTAACCAACCACTAGGATAATTCTATGTTCAGTGCTATTTTTTTCTTAAAACTACCAACTGCCCCTGCTTTTTTTAATTTCACTTTACACCGAGGATGTTTTCACTACATGTTTCTGAAGCATGTTTTTGCATTCACTGCGAAAACAAGGAAGAAGAATAAAGTATCCTTCTACTAAAACCATTGTTTTCGAGAAACTACCATTTGTTTTCTTCCTTTCTTCTCTCATTCTGTAGTCGATTCGAAACGAGCTGGATAAACTTGAATCCAAATTACAATAAAGCACCACACAAGCTTCATGATACCATATGTACATTATCATGTCAAATAAACCCGTTGTATAGCTTTTTTAGCTACAGAAATATAAATAAAGATAACAGTGAGGAACCATTTACAGATTTGCTGCACTTTCTTCCTTTTCTTTGTAATTTTGCTTTTATTCTGACTGAAATGAATAGAAGTATATACATTTCAGGGAAGGCAGCTAAAGAGAAGTTAGCAAAAACGGAAATGCCATTGGAAGGACATTAGCAGAACTTGGATAAGATGACTTGAAACAGTAATAAGAGGTATGTGCATCTTCTGTACTCAGGTAAATGTGACTCAGCTGAGCAGGTCAGATAGCAAAGAAGAAGTGAGTAGAGTGTAAGGATACTGATACTCTCTAATTAATTTAAATGTAAATCCACATGTGTCTGTGTGAACCCAAGATAATACACATTCTTACATTTTTAGAGAGCCAAGATGCAACTGAATTAGTTTAGACTTGAAAGTACAGAGAACTAGAACAGTATGTTTTCATCATATGTGACCTCAAATTGTTTTCTTCTTGGTCCTCATGCAGTCATTTGTCCAGTCTGGCAAGCGAGAAACATTATTTGACAGAAAAATTCTATCCCTGTCATTTTGACTGATATGCCACCATTGATGAAGACTACCAAGCTGTAATTTTTCTTCCCTTCTTTAGTAAATAAAGGTTTCTCCTTTCTGAACAACTTGGGAGATTTTTAAGCAGTCTACAATTCAAGTTATTCAACTAAGAGAAAGGGTGACAGACAAATGATACTATTAAGTTTGCTTCTGACAGTTTGCTACTGCAAAATGAAAATAATTGCAAGCAAATCTGAGAGAAAGAGAAAAATCTCCTTGAATAGGTTCTTAAACAGTACTTAATCAGAAACACTCCAAGAAAGCACAGGGACGTCCTGGGATGCAGTAAGCATACATGTATGATAGTCTAACAAAAGACATAATACTCTGCAGTGATGGGCCTCCTGCGCAATAAACTGGAGGCAGGACTGCACACACAGGCATACATGTGGAAACTTGATGAGTATGTCCATCTTCTTTGTCAAACTCCTTACAGAAAATGCTCCTCCTCACGCCAGTTAATACTTCACCAATAAAAAAGAAAAAATCAAACAACAGTGGTAAAAGCAGAACTTTCTGATTTTGTAGGCAAGGCATGTATGTGATGGCAATAAAGTATGTGCCTTATCTACCCTTGCAAACAGTGCTTTTTCTTTTATCCACTGATACTTCTGACACATCAGCTTATGACTTCATTTCAAGGCACCATTTCTCTGTTGTATAAACTCTTCTAGTTGCTTTGTCCCAAACTGATCATTGAGTCATACGATCCTAAGATGGAATTCTTTACTCTTCCCTAGAGGATGTAGGTTGTGTAGCACTCCTGCTGTTGTGCATAGTTGAAACAACATGAACTAGTAGGTAACACAGTTAATCAACTAGGACACAACTTACACATCTGAAAGAAATGATATAAACAGCTCTGCATGTTTCATAAATAGGGGAAACTCCTATCCAAATTTTAAAAAGTAGGAAATAGATGTGGTCCTCTGTCAAGTTCCTGTGGAAACTTCAAGAAGGTCACCCCTGCCAAGAACACAACCTGTACTTGAAAATATTATTTCTGTATTATGATAATGACATAAATTTATTTGAGATCTCCTGTCCTATATCAACATGGAAACAAAAAATGCACATTTTCCAAGAAAAAAAAGATAAAGGCACCAGAAATAAACCTTTTTTTTTTTTTTTTTTTTTTCCTCCTTAAGCAAAACATCAAGCCAATCCCTAAACAAGAAAGATGCAGAGCTACAATAAAATGATAAAGGGACTTTAAACCACTCCTAGCTGAGCTGGCGGGCGCAAGAGATATTGTCCTCCACCTGAATTGCCCTCCAGGTTCTTGTTTGATAATTCCAGGAACAAACCTGACCTTGCTTTATAATTCATGCATAAAGGTTGAATTCTTTAGGAAATACATAGAGAAAGCACACTTCTCCAGCTGTTCTTTGAAGATACTATTATTGCTGATAAATGCAAAGTTCTCACAAGGTTCAATGCTTTTTCTAGGGGTAGAATAGATCACGAATAAAAGCCTGTATAAATCTTACATAAAATGTATTCATATAAGTTACATAAATAAAATTACATGTGGCTATGTTTGTATATAAACATATATTCCCTAGAAGTATCATTTTCAAAAATTTTTGATCCTCAAAAGCAGTAAACTATGCTAAAAATAGAATGTTTAGCAAACAGGAGTTTTTAAAGTGCACAAACCTGACAAAAAGGTACAGTGACATTAATGTTAAATGACAAATCATAATTTTTTTTCTCTTTTTTACCTAGCTGTTCATTTTTACCTGAATTCATACATTTAATTTTTTCTTCATACACATTTTAAGCAAGCAATGTCAGAAATTATCAACCGTCCTTTAAAGATGAACAATTAGAAAGCATATGTGCAGTAACACAGCAGCCAATTAACATCACAAATAGAAAAAACAGCATACTGACATCTTCACCAACAGCAGGATATAGAGGTATATGGCACCATATTTTTGCATACTCACTGGTTTTGCACTGACAAATGCGGCAACCATTTTGATCCAGTTTGAAACTATAGATACAGTCTTTCTCAGTCAAAGTGCAGTTCACCAAAAGCTCACACGTGGGTGGACCTATTGTTATGTAAGTTGGTTCTAAATGCAAGAAAAATAAAACAAACACATTTGAGATCAATTTGATATCTTAAATAGTTCACAACAGGCGGACAATGCAACAGCAAAGAAAATCATTTTTAACAAATTTTGTTTCTGATTCATGAGCATTCATGGTACTTACTTCAAGAAATAGACTTTGTTTTGGAGTGGTATATACTTATTATACACAGTTTGAAGCTACATAAAAATTTTGAAATAGAAAAACAGGAAAAAAATCATACTACATTTTTGTTCACTGAGAAATCAGCATTCCTGCATTAAGTTTAACACTGAATTCAAAAAACTTATTCTACTCATTCTTTTAACAAAAGTATTTTATCCAAACTGTGCAGATTCTTAGGAATTAAAAAGACAAAAGTTTCTCCAGTGCTTAGTTGATTGATACTACCAAGCTGTAAATCAAAGCATGCAGCTCAATAGATCAAATCTTTCTTTGCGTGAATAAGATCACTTCTACACAAATTTAAATCAGAAGAGACTTTGAATGCCAAATGGGAATGAAAGGTACAGAGTGTGAAAGATCTCTTGAAGCCACACAACAGGACTATTCATCGAAAATATCACTTTTTACAGTATAATTTGCAGTATGAAGCTGTGGTTTTTGAATTTGATGATATTATTGTCAATCATTAGACAATTATTTACAATGTAATACTTGCTTTCGGACACTGTTTAAATATGTTAGATAATGAAATTTGTTTTAGTATATGCAGTAGCAAGACATATTCATGCACTGCAGTACACAAAGTTACTAGAGTAAAGTAAACCCCCAAGACATAAGAAAATAGCAAGCAACCTCAACACTCCCATCAAAAAAAATAGGATAAAGAAAGGAATGAAAAATCTTATTTTCAAAATGACTTTTTGTTGTATGATAATAATAATTTTCTCTACCTTTTTTTTTTTTTTTATGGAACTCAGCCCTTAAGTAACAAGGAATTTACTTATGTATATTATTAACACAATACTAAGCATCATGAAACACAAATGGTGTGATTTTTAAGTAAACAACCGTGAGTTTTCATTTCAGTGTTTGACTGAGCTCTGATTTTTCCAAATCTCGAGAAACAAAAATTTTAAAGAATTTAGATTTTAAATAAATTCAAATGGATGAATTGGTCAATTGTGAAAATATGGAGAAATGGTATACAAATCATCATTACAAGAAAACAGCGTTTCATGTAGCATGAACATTTTCACAGACTGAAGATGGCTATATCTTATCATACCTCCTCTCCAAACCAAATCCTTTGAATGGCAAATTTTGTCATCCATACTTGGAGGCAAATTGTCCTCACTCTCAGATTGAGAGTACAAAAATACTCAACATTTATTAAAATAATAGAAGTATATACTGTCAAACAAAATAGCTGCCTATTTCTCTGCCTATTAGCTCTGCACCCACCAGGCAGCTACAGCACCCATGCCTTCTAGTCAAGTGAAAATTATCCCATTACAAGAATGTGCATTTCTGCTTTCATTGTCTTGTACAATTTTCTGCTTTCACAGTTTCCCTCCAGCCCTACTCTTCCCTTCCCAACAGTTTATGCAGTGGTTGAACATTTTTAATCCTTTTTAAATTAGGTCAGCGAAGTACAGAGTTAGGAGCAAAAAGAATGCATGACACGCACAGAAGATTTTAGTCTTCTCTCCCAGAGATCATGGTTCAGATTCCTCACTTTTCTGTGAATTCTAAAACACTATTCAAGTTCTGTTCTGTGCAATTTTTGTAGAAGAAGTGTCTATATATATTGTACATACATAAAACACCAGCTTTGCTTAAATGAAAGCTGGAAATTTGGATAATGGTATCTCTGTGCCTGTAGAATCCTCAAATCTCTTATAAGCTGAATTATTATTATTTTTTTTTCCTCCAGATTTTTTCCAGGAGTTTAACAGATTATTAGTTTGCAGGTCAAATGAGAGATTCTATCAATTTCTGTGAAGTATTCATTTCATAGCTCAGAGTTTGTAACCATAGTATGGAAAAGTAATCTTAATGAGCAATTTATTTTAGAACAAATGAATTCCCAAACTAGACCATTTTTAATTGCAATGAACTCCTTGTATTTTTTTCAAATTCATTCAATAAACTGACTAAGTTATGCTCATACCTAATATCTAATGTTTGCAACTTCAACAGATCATTAGTTAAGGGATGAAGACCATATCAATATAGACCAGTAACATGATATACTCCAGAAACTTCATTAATTCATCCCATTTGTTTAGGACAGATCATTATAAACTATCTTTGCAAATGAACTTATTTTTAGCATCTGGTGCCTATCCTGAAAACCTCCATTCCTACTTTCCTGTATTCTTTAAGTAAAATATCCTCAACAAGCAAGATACCACAACACAGCAGTTACCTTGAAGCTACATGCAGGTTACTAGCCAGATAGCCCAAATCTGGCACTTCAAATGACAACATAGCAATACTTATAATCAGTGGTAGTTAAAAACATCACCAATCATATGAATCACTCACACTATCCAAAGCATGTGGTAACTTTTCAAAGCTCTCTTTCATGTTTTGATGCTCTTCTGTCTTGGATGCTGACATATCAGTTTTGAAATGTCTCTACCTTGATACACTGAGCAATATATTATTTCTTAGTAGGGACAAAATTAAAGGGTTACTATTTTAATTTAAAAGATTGTTGTGAATCCTTTATTTGTTGTGGTTTGTTATGTTACCTCTCACTTTTCTTTCTGCGCTCAGCATCCTGAGAATTTCCAAGCAAGCTCACAAATTTATTTTTCCTCCCTTCCGTCCCTAAAGGTAAGTCCTGAGAGATACAGTAATTTTATATGCATGCCTGCTTCTCAATGAGCTGCGAGTGAAGGACAAAAGAAATAATTTCATTCCCTACCCCCACATGTGCAAAAATGCAGCCAGAAAAAAAGTATCAGCCCTTTTCACTTCGCTAGACAAGACTCAACAAATAATGCTAGCTTTCCTGCTGCCAGACTGCTGGCTATTTGAATAGGCAAGCAGTAGTTAGGCTTGAAAAAGCATGTACGGCCACATGATCCCCGTTAGGCTTTCACTGCTGCTCTTGGTAGAAAATGCAGAAGAAAGATCCAGTGTACAAATGAACAGACAATTGGTGGGAAAAACATAGGCTACTTCTGTCCATGTATTTTACAGCAGTAAAACTCCAATGAAGAAAGAGGAAAGGCAAAAATAAAGAGAAAAGGATTGATGAGAGTCCACTTGAAAACAATGCTTTTTTTTTTTTTTTAACAGAACACAGATATTGCTGGTGTAAAGTGTTTATGAGTAAGGTTGAATGCAGCTTGCTATTAGTGTATCTTGTTTCCATATATTCTCTTGGAGCATAAAATTTTCTATGCTGAATTTCAGTGCACTGAATTATTATTTTGCTTGCTACGAGGTTGATCAAAATGTTGAATTCGTTTTTTGTGCTTTTTCACTGCTATAAATATTTTTCAGCTAACAACAGGAATTCTACAGCAGTAAATCAAGCAGGGTATGAAATTGGTATATGCATGTCACATCACAAAGAAAATGTTCTTGACTTTATGTTTTATAGTAGTAAAGAAAAAAGGCAATATTAAAAAAATAAAAAAATTGTTCCTCAAATTGCTAACATTTAATCATGGCCTACTTAAGTCTGCTATACAATACCACTGCCTACTCTTCCCTTCCATCTCAGGACGAGACAGAAGTGATGCTGCTCTCGGCTAGAGGCAGATATAAATCACTTTTTGAGATTCAGACCTATCTGAGGCATCAAACAAAGCATAAACACAGATACAACACAGTTCTGTATCTGACATTTTACTCAGAAGTCACTTCAGAAGTCATAAAATCCACAGTGGATATTCCAGCTGCTGGTGGCCTGTCAGTCTGACCCACTGAGAAAACTTCACAGTGCGTGATCAAATCCCTGATCTCAGTCATCCTAGCTTGAAGTCAAAGTGCTTTGCAGGAAGACAGTGATATCCCACCAATAGCGGAACTGGCTTTGTCTTTCTGGACCACCTTAGCAATAATGCCACAAAACTTGAGTGTCACAAACAAGGAAATTTGTCAAGGTGGAACAAGACCATACTGCCACCGTCAGTTTTCTAACCAATCCTCAAAAGCATTCCTTTCTGCTATTTTCTGATTTCTGAGACCTTCCACTTCTACTATGAGTGATGTGACACAGCTGTTGTCAGAAAAACCATTTTCTTCTGTTAAAGATGTGAAATATGTAGAAGAGGACAGGATAGTCTATCTAAGTTTTGTACTGTGCCTCTGACAGAAGCAACAGCCACTGCCATACACAGATCTTGTTATACATGGATGAGTACTAGGATAATGCCTGGCTGAAGTATTCAGAAATTGACAGAAACTGATTTACCCATGCTTCAGTGACAGCAAGGGAAAAAGGTTCTAAGGATTAGAATTTTATTATACATACAGTTTGAACATTTAAAATTAATGAAAAAAGAAAGAAAACAAATTCATTGACGATTGCTGAAGCCCTGGAAAATAAAAGCAAAAATGAATCTGAGACCATCTGCAGCAGCCTTCTTGACTTCAGTTTTTCATATGAATGTAAAAAATGAACATTTCGTTGAAGATGTCATTTTTTCTTCCAACTTTGGAGATTGCATTTGCAATCTTTAGTTAGTTATAAAGTGAGATGAAAAAATAGAGAGAAGTACCCCTTAAGGCTGATATCAGTTACACACATTTGCCTATCATACCTTTAAAATGTTTAAAATTTGAACTTTGGGTATTGAGTTCATATCAACAAAAGAAGTGGGATTCCACTTAACTGTATCACAGCAAAGCCACGTGTATTGTAAGAGAGCAGTAAGTGTTCAGTTTTGGTCTGCGTGAAGGACAAGAGGACTTATATCAGTGAGAGCAAAGCAAGCAGTTCCATGGAAGCAATGCTTCTCTGTTTAGCACTTGTGAGTCCACACCTGGTATAATGTCCAGCTTTGGCCTCCTTAGT